TATATATGTGTATGTATATAAATATATATAATATATATGAATATATATATGTGTGTATGTATATAAATATATATAATATATATGAATATATATATATATATATGTGTGTGTGTGTATATGTAGATCAATATATATAAATATGTGTGTATGTATATAAATATATATAATATATATGAATATATATATATATATATATATATATATGTGTGTGTGTGTGTGTATATAAATATATGTATGTATATAAATATATATAATATATATAAATATATATATATATATATATATATATATATATATATATATATATATATATATATATGCAATTTTGATATGTATTATTTATATATTATATATGCGCGGTACTTATTGGAAATAATGTGCATATAAAGGTAAGCAAATAAGTTTTTATGGTGGAAACAAAACAGTGCTCAAACAGTTAAACAGAGCTACAAAGTATATTACTAAATGCACATATACCCGCGCTTCACGTGAAACTCAGATTTTTCCTGGTTTCCCAACTCGTTAGGCACAAATGGTAAATAAGCTACTTAATACTGCATTAAGTGGAGTACTCCAAGAGAATCGAACATATATGTGAAAATATATAGAAAATAGGAAGGAACTGGTTAGGTAAATAATCCAAAGTCCCTTAGTATTTTAGTTATTATTTTTTAAAAATAGTGCTCGATACAAAAGTAGAGCATAAATATAATTATTTATTTAAAAATATGATTCCAAATCGCTACATAAGAGGTCTCATGTTTCAAAACAAGAGCCGAAAACTTCAATATAATCCTTTAAATTAAATTGAGTTGAAAGTAAAATGGGCTCCGTTCCATCTTCAAGCGAAATTTTGTTGGAAAATATATATATATATATATATATATACACACACACACACACACACATATATATATATATATATATATATATATATATATATATATATGCAATTGACAGTTGCCACTGGGTGTTGACTACAATGTCCACTTTCATATTTACATAAACTGTATCCCTGTTAATCAACATTTTAACCCATTAGTATAGCATACCTTAAAACTAACTAACTAACTATCTATATATATATATATATATATATAAGTGAGAGAGAGAAAAACAGAGAGAGAGAGAGGTGATATTTAGTGTTCTTGCAGAGCCCTATTTGCAAACAAAAAACAAATATCTAAGTGTTTATGGTAAAATATACACGAACATCACAGGTGTCTAAATTAAGAGAGTTATAAATATCTTTGTAATTATTTTCACCTTTTCTTTTCTGTATTCCTTGCAAGTTCAAGTAAACACACGTGCGCCTAGAAACACCTTCGAAGGTAGCCGTTGCCATGACAACGCCCGTTTGTAAGGAGCGCTAAGCCTGACCCACCTGTTAGCTACACAGCCGGCAGCTGCTTCACCAAAATCATTTGGTCTGCGAGAGAGCCATGGAACAAGTGAGAGAAAAGAAGTGACAAAGAGAAAACGAGAGGAATGGGATGAGGAGTGACTAGCGTGTTGATTTGATTGGCTGGAAGAAGGATATACAGTTTTTGAAGTGTCATGGGAACAGATAAATAATCAAGTTAGAAGATAGATAAATAGATAGAGGTCGATAAAGAGAGAGAGAAAAACAAAATATATATAGAGAGAGACAAAGATGACAGAAGAATTGGGAAGTAAGGTAGTCGATAAAGTGTTTCGAAAAATGAGAAAAGAAATTAGAAACAGAATCATGTGAGAAAGAACTAAAAGGAAGAAAATCAAAAACGAATAGGAAAAAAGTAAAGGCTATATCAATCGAAGCAGTTCAGTTCAAACTCCTTCCCGCTTTTTTCAACAGGAGTAGATGTTTATCTCCTGTTTCCTGTTTAGTATTGGGTTTCCGGTTCATTCTAAAGTCTACTTCAACTCTATACTTCTAACGTCTGCGCTAAAAGGTCTGCACTTGTTAAAATATTGAATTACTTTTTCATTTCTCAATAGGAATAGATAGGTTCGCTTATTGTCCGGTTCACGCTCCTCCCTGTTCTTTTGAACAGGAGTTATCAATGTTTCATGTTTAACATTGGATTTCCGGCTTCTTCTAAAGGCTTTTCCTGGTGGTTACTCCTACCTCGAGGAGTTCTTGGGCCTTGCACAAGTTGAATATTATATATATATATATATATATATATATATATATATATATATATATTTAAGTTGGAGGAAGAAAAGCTGGAAAAGATAGAGAGAGATACGGAAGAAAAGAGAAATACTTAAAGAAAACTACAGAGTTTGCTTGGTTGGCGATAATGATCGTGATCGGTTTTGGAGCCCGTATATCATAAATACCAATATTCAAGAGAGGTAGACTTCTTATAATTATTTGGCTTTATATTGTATTTAGTACATATTAGAAAGATGAGACCTTTCAGTATAACGAAACTAGTACATCCCTTGTTGGAGGTACCAAATTTAATAATAATGATAAAACAGATATTATTTACAAAAAAAAAAAAGGTAAAATAGGGAAAATAAAACAAAGCACCAAAGTTTGATGCGAAAATACAGAAAGACACAAAAAAGTGGGGAGGGAAGAAGAAAAAAATTTAGCCGGTTATTGCTCCCCATTCTTCAGAACTCGGTCGAGGATAGTAAAATAATTTTTGTACACATCCGACTAAAAAGAAAAATGATCACAACATATCGAAACTCCCTATCTATTTGGCCTTGTGTCAGTCTTAGCTTAAATATAAACAGATAAACCAGAAGTCGAACAGAAATGAAATTGAATAAGCATTGATATATAAGTAATCTTACTTAGGTAAATACAGATTATTTTAGCAGAAAACTGAGAAATAAATCTCTACAAAACGAGCAAACGACTTTGCCTACCTGTCAGATTTTTAAGCTTAAAAAAACCTCATCTGGATTAGAGTATATCTATACAGTTCACAGAATTATTTGTCAACCGTAACTTAGATTTTCATATTTTTCCTCTCTCTCTCTCTCTCTCTCTCTCTCTCTCTCTCTCTCTCTCTCTCTCATATCATGGTTAGTGTAATAGTGGCTCGGAATGATTAATCAGCGATCTGTGTTCGAATTCCGAATTCATTGCATTTACTTTCTCGCAAATATCATTGGGAAAGGCACGAATCGTACTCTTTTCCCTCTATCTCAGCTATGGATTAAATTGTAAGGCAGATTGGGCTCTCAGACTAGGAGCAACTTGAATTCAAAACCTGACGGGGATTATTTGGGAAGCTTGCTGCACAAGATGTGCACAGGTTTGCTGTATTTATTCCTTCCGAACTTTGTGGATGGTTCACCGCTGAAACAAAATAATACCACAGTCATATGTGTCGGGTAGGCTGAGTATCCTGTCCTGGTACCTGAAATGTTGGACTAATATTTCAAAGACAAAGGAATAGTCCATTTCAGATCTCTTCTCTGGCCTACCTGAGACAGCGAAACATCCGTTCTTGAACGCTTATTACTATTATTATGATTATGAGTTGTTATGATTATTCTTATGCTAATGATTATTATTGTTATTATGATTATGACTATTATTATTATGATGATGATTCTGATTATTCTTATGACTACTTTGAGTCATCAGCACGTCAGCAAAAGGATGGGGTACTAATTTACGAAACCCGGTTTACCCGTCATGACGTACAGTCTGATATGAGTATAGTGGGTTCATACATCACATCCATACGTAAACAATATGGTGACATGATTCCAAGTATCTAGTTGTGACTCTCATGTTTCCTTGGATGCTTCATCCTTCATAGTTAAAGAAAAAAAAAAAAAAAGGAAGGAGAGAACCTCTTCGAAATCTGGACATGAGACTCTGAAACTACTCCTACTCAGGAATAGGGATGCACAATACGTTAGCCCCTACGGTGTGTACCCAGATTGTTATGGTCAAACAGCAGAAAAACAGATCTGTAGTAAATAATGAGATATTTACTATAGCTTATCTTAATTTACCAAGAAATATTAAATATAATCCCTGAACGCTAGCACGACGAAATCTTCAGGACTGCAATCTATAGACTGTCCGTTAGGTCATTTGAATTATATATGGCGTTATCACACTATTGGCGTAGTTATATATTACCACCAGTCAATTAAAAGCAGAAGCCATGAGAGCCATGCCTGGTGCAGCATTACTGCATTAATTATTATTACCACCAATAACCTAATAATTAGATACTACTATTACTGTTTAAATTAGCTGACCCCAGGTTAATATAGAAAGCAAAAATATCGTTAGGGTTATTGGCATCGTCGTTGAAAAGATGAGAAGGAAGGGAAAGCAAAAGATCGGAGGGACAAATGAAAGTGGAGAGAAGGAGAGTAATTATCCGGAAGAAGGAAAAAGCAGGGCGTAAAAAAAAGGGGTCAATAGCGAAGGGACAGGGAGCGGAAGGAAAAAAAATCGAAAGCTCTACAAACAAAGTTAGCGAAAAGGTTACGTGTGAATGGGAGAATGGTGAACAAGTCTGATGTAATAAATTTTAGCACGCACGTGCTAAGCGCTTCTAACATAAGGCACAAGCACTTCTCGGCAACGTGCTGCATCTGGATATACAGCCAGCCACACCCTACTCCCTCGTCTTCAACAGTTTTACTTCCCGGAGTGGCTCATCTCGTGACAACGTCGCTCGATTTAAAGTGTTTCTAATGACATAAACATTGTTTAGTATATGGAGTAAATGATCATGTATTTTCGGTCCATTTCTCGAACCTCTTTAACGTCTACTGCCTGATGTCTAGTGAGTTTGTGATGTCTCCAAATACAGACGGATACAGTCTATTGTTCTTCCATGAAGTTGTACTCATTCTATAAACAAAATTGATATGACTTTTTAAGACAAAGGGTAGGAGTCATAAAGCTAGTCTCATATTCTAAATATGTTATCCATGTCACTGTTCATCTACTCGGAAATCTTCTCATAGGGAAAAAGTAATCTTCTGTTCATAGCCCTTTCTCTTGATACTTTCCTTTATTCATGAATAAACTTTTTATTTTTCTTCTCTTTTCATTTTCCTTCATTTTTCTTTCTTCTTTTCTTTTCATTTTTTCTTCTCTTTTTCTTCTCTTTTCTTTTTTCTCCTCTTTTCATTTTTCTTCTCTTTTCAATTTTCTTCTTTTTTTCTTTTCTTTTCATTTTTGCTTTTCTTTTCATTTTTTCTTTTCTTTTCATTTTTTCTTTTCTTTTCATTTTTTCTTCTCTTTTCATTTTCCTTCTCTTTTCATTTTTCTTCTTTCTTCTTTTTTCTTCACTTTTTTCTTCTCTTTTCATTTTTTCTTTTCTTTTCATTTTTCTTCTTTTCTCTTTTCTTTTTTCTTTACTTTTCTTTATTCTTTTTTCTTTTCGTTTTTTTCTTCACTTTTCGTTTTTTCTTCCATTTTCTTTTCTCTTAGTTTTTTCTTTTAGTTTTTTTTTCTTTCCTTTTAGTTTTTTTCTTTTTTCTTTTCATTTTTCTTTTCTTTTCTCTTCTTTTTTCGTTTTTTCTCTTTCTTTTTTCATTTTTATGCTCTTTTTTCTTCTCTTCTTTTTCTTTTCTTTTTCCTTTCTCTTCTTTCCTTTCTTTCTATTTGTGTGCGCTTCTGCCTTTTCCCTCTCTCTTTTTTTGTTTTACTCGCTTTCTTTAAACTTTTCTTTTTCTCGATTTCTTCTTCTTCCTTTCTTGTTTTTTTTTCTTTCTCTCACTTTCTCTGTCATTTCTCTCTAGGTTTGAATGTTTTTTTGTCGGTCCGGTTTTTTTTTTTACTTTTAATTCTTTCTTCCACTGCTGCATTTATCTTTCTTCCTTACTTTTTAATGAATTTTCTTCCTTTAGGTTTATATTGCAAATTATTACTTCATTTTTTTTTATTTTAAAAATCGTTCAACAGGATTTTAAAAATTATTTCTCTTTCGTCTCCATTAGATTAAAATAGCTTTTCCTATTTTGGAATCAATTTCTTCCTCGAGTCATTCTTTCTGGGAATATTAGTGTTGCGTCCTTTTTTCTGTAGGTATGTTTCTAAGAAGACACGCCTCTAGTGTAACGGCTATCGGCGCGGAAAGTAGCATCGAGAATGAGAATTCAGATTCCAAGCTAGCTTGTTGCATTCCCTTTCGAAGTAATGCTTTTTGGAAAGGCACGAATCTGCTTTTCTCCGCCTAGCAAGGTAGCCTGGTCTAAGAAAGAAAACTGAATTCAAGCTGTGATTAAGCACACTATTTCTGGCCTGAAGATTGCAATTAAGCATGAAACAGACTGTCTGAGTGTCGATCTTAATGTCCACCTTATATTTACACACGCTCTGTCCTTGATACTGAGCACTTTAACCCATAAAGAAGCATACCTTAAACTACCACTCTATCGATATATATATATATATATATATATATATATATATATATATATATATATATATATATGTGTGTGTGTGTGTGTGTGTGTGTGTGTGTGTGTGTGTGTATAAACTGTTACATTGGAACATGGAAGTTACCGCGATAAAATGCATATTTGTCTCGACGCCCAAAGTCATCTTCGTCAGGCGCTTAGATTATTTGTCTCGACGTCCAAAATTAGATTATTAACCGCCTGCCGAAGACATCTTTGGACGTCGACTTCCATGTTCCAGTGTAACAGTTTGTAATAAATATTTATTGGTCTACTTCCCGTATTAAGCCCTTTTTTTAAATTAATGTTATGAACGTTTGAATTTATGTTCTTTTCGTTCTTTTACACACACACACATATATATATATATATATATATATATATATATATATAAGAAGGTGTTACCTGAATGATCGATAGATTTGAACTGACCCCCATGATCGAGGGTAGCCATTTATACCGCTTCTATTTGTGAGATACCTTGCTGGCTTACAAAGGAAATAGTTAAAAAGAAGCAAATCTATGTATTAGGATAAGTAATTTTTCGACAAGGACGTTCCTTGACATTTTGGGTAGCACCTTCTCTGTGTGTATGCATATATATATATATATATATATATATATATATATATATATATATATATATATGAAAAGAACTTGAATGTGGTTTACGGAAAAGGAAGCACATTGTTTATTTAGAGTATGGTGTTGAATAGCCGCCGGCTTGTCAAAGCAACATCGCTAACCAAAAATGCATTGACGAAAGTTGGCGCACGAACTTGTTTATGCATCAATGAGAGAATCTCGTTTTGTTCAAGCGGTCTCTAGAATTATTTGGACCGCAGGATACGTGTGTGTAGTTACACTAGGGAAAGCGGTGAACTATGGGTATTCAACAGGTCGAAGCATTGATGTTTTTGCGCGATCTTCTGCGATGTAGATGAAAACTTTGCTTCCCGTCTTCTCTATCTCTGTTATTAACCTCTTTTACCCATAATTATAACATACCTTAAAACTATAATTTTTTCATATATCAGAAAAGACTTAAGTAAAAATTTTCTATATCAATGTTTTTTGTTCCTTGAAAAACTTTATCAAGATAAATATAGAGAGTTTATTTCGTAACTTGTATTCTTAAACAGAAATAACTTGGAAGAAAAATGTCCGATTTTTTTCTCAAATATCGATTTTCCTAAAAGAAATACCCCTTTCCCAATCCAACATTCGTGACCTTAAATATTTTAAAAACTTAAAAGAAAATGTTTAAATCAAATCCTTCCATACATAAATAATTTATCAAATTAAAATAAAATAATAAATAATAATTACATTTATATATAATATATATATATATATATATATATATATATATATATATATATATTTGAGCCTTTCTAAATTTAAACATTTTGAAAATATAAAAAAAGCAATAAAATCTGTACAGAGGATAAAGTCCATCACAGGACGAAACACGTTGATAAAAATAGTATTCCATTTTTCTTTATTCATTCATATATATATATATATATATATATATATATATATAGCCTCTATCAACCATTTTCTCTATTACTCACATACGCACGCATGCACTATAACACAATCTGAAGCGTTCATGAACTGATCTCCTTCGATCGACTGTGTAAGCAGTAGAATCAACAACCTGTTCACTCCTGACTTACCGTTGGAGAAGAGTGGAAGCTACTGATCGGGCGTCTTTCCTTTGTTCTCCTATCTTTTGTCTTTCATTGCACAGACGCACCTTCTTTGTCCTGTACACACATGCCAGTCTATAGGTACGCACATCCTTACCCCCGTTCTATCTCAGCGAAATCGTTTAAGAGATTAGGAGCGGCCATTTTGAACAAAAGCGAGCAATTCTTACCATATATTGACTATATTTATTTTGTAAAATCCAGCTGACAAACAAGATATTAATGATTTTTTTTAATTTCTAGAAATTACTCTAGACCGCAGAGTCAGAGTATACTTTTCGCAAACCACGAATTGATGATTGATTTCCAAATCATGTGGTTATTGTTTATAATTTGAGGAAGAGTATTTATAATTCCAAGATCTATTCACACAACTGAAGAGCACTTTTTGTGCTATTTATGTGGCCCACCCACAATGTTTCGATCGGTTTATTTTACGACTGTTTTCAGGTGTAGTGTCCGTATAATACAGGAGTGTCACTTTTTCGATAATGCAACGCGGTGGAAGGTAGCAAATAGACAATTCACAGTATATTAAGGTGGACCAACAAGTTTGTAACCTAGCAAACGTATTTGTCAAATTTTGATATGGAATTTTCGCTCGCTGTATTTATGTGATTAATGAAAATACACTGAGTTAGATTTATTGACAAGTAAGATTATTTAAAAATATTTGTATAAATATAAAATATATTTTTCATTCTAAGTGTACTGAATTATCGATGCACTTACATACTCCAAGTTTTTCTGTGTTTTCAATGTTATTGTTCTTTTTTTTTTTTTTTTTTTTTTTTTAAGCATTACGCCCCGTGCAAGGCGTGAAGCCACTAGGATGCAGGGGGTTGCAGAAGATTTGGAGCAAGAGCAGATAGGAGTGATAGAAGAAAGGATGAGGAGAGGGATAGTGGGTAGATCAAGGTAACTGGAGATGTCGATTGACATTACATTTGAATAGTTAGAGATTATAGCTCTCAGGGAAACAGTAATTGGGAAGGGTGTTCCACAGGCGAGAGGTGGGAGGTATGAAGCTATTGGAGTAGAAGAGACAGCTAAATTTAAAAATTTCTACAGTGCTAGCCTCGTAGGGCGCTTGAATTCATGGAGTCTGGGAACCAGTGAAAGCAGCTCATCGGAGCAATTACCATGAAAGTATTTGTAGAAAAGACAGAGAGAGGCGACGGCGCGTCTGTGAGAGAGTGACTATAGACGAGACGCCAGATCAGGGCCAATTATATTACATATCCGTCTCTGGATCTTGTCAAGAACTCCAAGGTAAACAGAAGGTGCCCCAAACCATATATGGCAGCAATACTCCATGCAAGGGCGAATGGTTGATTTGTATATTTGAAGTATCGATTTCGGGGAGAAAAATTTCCTGGCGCGGCACAGAGAGCCAACTTTTCTCGCGAGAGACTTTTTTCGTAAAATAGATCAGTCGAAATACTTAACAAAAATAATAGATTTAATTTTTCTAATAACTCTTGGGATGATAGTGGGATTATGTTTTAATTGTCACTGATTTCAGGAATTCATGTTTAGAACTGATATCAACATGTTAAAAACTATTTCTATGGATGCATCCTTAATGACCGTGATTATGGTTTTTGACTGGCATCATCTTGCATGCTATCTTCATATCTTGAAAAGCAAGGTCTAAATAGATATGTATTCTTAATTACTGTAAGATTGTTAAATGCAGAATTGGTAACTAATAAAATACCTTCTCAGTATCAGAAATAGCGTTGAGAAATTGAACTCATAGAAACATATTCTTGATTCAGTAAGAATCGAAATTTTAAATGTGTAGATAAGTTTAGATTAGCTTGAAATATTGTTACTATAATCTAATAAAGACTAAATCCACTATATAAACCTGTTGCAAATTATCATTTCATGTGCCAAGTAAATACTAACGAGTTTTGAGCGACACCAAATAATCATTATCGAAAATTAATAAAGAACTTTTCAATTTTAGAATACCAATGAAAAAATATCTATTTAATCTCCCTGTTTCTTTGCAATCTGCTGATTGTCAGTTTAGAAGAAATATAAGCCAATCATCTTTGGTTATCAGATTTCAAGCTTTCGCTTTATTCGAAATTTATTTGAAAATTTCGTCTAAAAACAGAATTGCATGTTGACTCCTTCGACCAGCATAAAACTGGTAGGAGCGAAATTAAATTTGATTCATTTTTCTGATGACTTTGAAACCAGTCTGACAATACCTGGTTCTATGAGTTCTGACTGGTCGAATGTCGAATCACCCTGATTAACTGGCCGGTAACGTTAATGCGAACTTCACGTCAAAAACATTTCTATCTCACGTATACTTAAATTCACGTGACTTGATTACTGGAGTATGTTTAACGCTGTTGAATATGTTATAGTAAATTAAAATGTCATCGAATACATTCAGACAACTGTACTCAAATCATTTTGATATTTCATCTACAGGCTTGCTGTTCTATTGCCCGGAATAAATCTAGGGAAACACTCTAAGAATAAGTGAGCTATTTACCAAACGCTCTTTCGTAAAAAAAAACAACATCTGTTTTATCTTCGTTGACCAGTTAAGAGCTGCAAATTTCTGCGTGATTTGGACGTGGATCCTTATTTGTGAGTGAG